ACACTTAACCTAGGAAATGACTTGTGAGAAAAGAGGTTGGCTTGACCTTAGAAGAGAAAACCAGTCTTAAAAAACAAGACCAATAATCGATTCTGTCTGTATTCTGGTCAAAATGTACTTAGAATTCCACTTAAATGTGTTTAGAGTATCAAAGCAGAATTCTAAAGACTCAAGAAATTTGTTCTTTTTTCTAGCTTTATCTGCTTAATTGTAGGACCCCCATATAGGTAACATTTTATGCTAGGGACTTGCTGTTGAGGTTGAGGGTCCTGAGTGTGCCCTCTCTTTTGCCCAGTAGCTTGTTATGGGTTGGGCAAGCTGTGACCCCCTCAGTCTCCAGATTGGCATGCTGCTAAGAGTGATAGTACTACACTGAAGCAATTTTAGTTGGAAGATTACACAAGGTGATATGCTTATATCACAGATAGTAAGTACTCAGTAAAAAATTAGCTGCCGTGATTATCATCATCATCATTTCAACTTTATCCTCAACTAAGAGGATAATATTATTTGAAATATATTTCTTGCAGGATGTGGTGGCGCACACCTTTAATCTCAGAGCTCTGGAGGCAAGTGGATCTCTGAGTCTACAGCTTGGTCTAGAGAGCAAGTTCCAGGACAGTCAGGGCTACACAGAGAGAAACCCTGTCTCAAAAAACCAAAAAAGAAAACAAGAAAGAAAAAAAACTTATTTTTGCATAATATAAACATTGTAAAACATTATTTAGAAATTATGTCTTATCTTTTTATCAAGTTGAGAGTAGTGTAAAATGGTTTTAATTTGCTGCTGAATTCTGATTGATTGCATACATAATGCTTTTCCTTTAGTCTTCTAGTCATTTCTTTCTACATTAAATGAAAACTTTAAACATATTTGTATATAATGGTAGTTATACTGTATCTTTTGTTATATTTAGAAATAATTTTTGTCTTGTGGTTTTGAAATGACATTGCCACTACACCTTCAATGTGATTTTGTATTTTATAGTTTCTGGTTAGAGTCCTATGTGATCCAGGCTGGTTTGAACTTAGTGACCCTTGTACCTCAGCCTTCTGAGTGCTAGAGTTCCAAGCATTTGCTTTCCACAACTGGCTTGAACCATGATTTTGTCAACCTTATCATCAGTGAAAGCTTTGGTTTTTTTTTTTTTTTTTTAAAGATTTATTTATTTATTATGTAGACAGGAGAGGGTGCCAGATCTCATTACAGATGGTTGTGAGCCACCATGTGGGCGCTGGGAATTGAACTCAGGATCTCTGGAAGAGCAGTCAGTGCTCTTAACCCCTGAGCCATCTCTCCAGCCCCTGGTGTTTTTTTTTTTTTTTTTAATTGTAAGCAAAAATTTTTATTTTGAAGTAAACATTAAGGATAGGTGGAGCTTTTGTTCTTAACAAAGCTTTTACATTCACAAATTTGTTAAGACACATTTGCTGAAGCATTTTACAACTCAGAAATGTATTCCTTCAATAAAGAATAATGTCAGATTATATTGCAGCCTTGTTCTGTGTTCCTACAAGGCAGACAATATTTTTTTTAAAGTCCTTTGGCTTTCGTATTTTCTGTGAATAAAGATTTCTGTGGCAAGTCAATGTTTCAGTTTTATTTTTAAACTTTTCTGAAATGTTTTGAATTATAGTCTGCTTTTCCTTCCATTAGTGTAATGTATACATACATATACATGGTAGCTTTTCAAGTCTTCGTTGAGTATAACACCCGTGTCATTAGATTTGTTTTAGTTTACTTTTTTTCATCTCATAGTGCCTAATTTGCAATGTTTAATGACCTCTACCACCGTGTGTGTGTGTGTGTGTGTGTGTGTGTGTGTGTGTGTGTGTGTGTGTGTGTGTGTGTTCACTCGCATGTGTGCGTGTGCACAAAGGCAAAAGCATGAGGTTTGGCACCTTCCTCTGGAGGTCTCTACCTTACTCATTCATTTACTTATTTTTCCATGTTTTGTCAGCACGAATGTCCATACACTATGTATGTGCAGTATCCACAAGGGGCCGGGAAAGTGAGTCAAATGTCATGAGTGTGAAATTATAGATAAAATAGTTGTGAACTGCCATGTGCTTGGTTAAACCAGGTTCTCTGGAAGAGCAGCTCGTGTTCTTAACGACTGATCTCTTCCATGCCTATTTATTTCTTGAAATAGGTCTCTCGCTGAACCTAGAGTCCATTGTTACAGATAGATTGGTTGGCCAGTAAGCCCTCTACATCTCCTGTCTGCAGCACATGCCACCACCACCCCTGCTTGTGTTTTATGGAGTGCTAAGGATCTGAACTCAGTTCTTGTATTTACAAAGCAGGCACTTTATTCACTGAGCCATCTCCCCAGCCTTGATGACTGTTAATTTCTGACTAGATAGCAGATAGAGAATTGAACATTATTTGGGAAGATACAATTTTCATTCTTAAAAATGCTGTTTAGTTTTGTTCTGGGAAGTGGTTGACTTAGTTGGAAAAAGTTTAGTTGCCTTCAGTCTTGATTTTGTAATTTATTAGGCAATACTTGAACTGTAGCTCATACTAGGTTGAATTGTTTCCCTTTGAGATACTGTTGATGAATCATGAGATGTTTCAGTCTAGCTCCATTTGAGAGAGAGCTAAATTTTTTGTAATGTGAAATCCTTTGGTGGCTGCTTCCTGGCCTTTAGAACCCTCTTCCTAACATGCATTAGGAACTATTGAGTGTAGTTCTTGGGCTCCTAATAGCTCCAGTAGTTTTCAACCTTGCATACTTTACTTTTCTGGACTCTTAGGTTGTTACCTTTTTTAGTATCTTCTCTGTGTGGGCCAAGACTACAGCTATGAAGTTGGGCCATTGCAGGCTGGCCCATGCTCCCTCAGTACTGTCTTTTCTCTCTTTCAGTGCCTGATTTCTAGTAGTGGTAGTTGTTGTCTATACACTTTGGTTGTTCCACATAGAGTGAGAGGTGAGTCGTGCTCTGGCTTCTTTGTCTTGGCTAGAAATGAAAGTCCCTTATACGTATATGGATCCAGACATGGGCACACTTTTAGTTCACCAGGTAATAAATACAGCTAACTTTCCCAAGTCTACCAGAGGGATAACAATACATATTTTTGTGAGAAATACAACCATTCTTTAACATTAAAATTTGGATTTTAAATTGATTCTTTTCACAGAAGTATTTATTTATGTTTTGTATTCTTTGCTATGTAAATGACCCCAGGGTTCCCAGTTTCTTGATTCATTGACTCTTTACCCTCACATCTCTTTATGGTGTACCCTAGAGAAAAAGAAACAGCCCATGCCTTCATTTATTAAATATTGGGTAAGTAACTGAATTGGTATTATGTAATCTCTTAAATTGAAAATATTTTAAGTAGCCACATTAATATTATTGTATTTGTAATTGCTTTAATCTTGGGTGCTCTTTAGATTCTCCGATGATACATTACCACCATCAATGTGGACATTGATGTTTTCATGGAACTGCTTTTTAATATAGTAACCACCAAAAACCTAGCTCTGCCAAGATGTGTTAAAAGGAATGTGGTGTGACCTAAGACTGAAACAGATAGGCTCTGGGTTACTAGTTTGCTTAGTGTTTGATTATTGCTATTTTTCCTGGAGATCCATTTAGCTTTGACTGTGTAGGTATGTTTTCCTACCAAAGTTACTAACTGATAAAACAGAATCCTGTACTTGGTAGATCTTATTTCTATTGTCATTGTTTGTCCTCAATAATGTGAAAAATAATAGAAAAGCCTGTTTTATCATACCAGTTTACTTCTTTTGACTGTAATTGACACAGTAACAGACTAATGTCTTTCACAAGCAAAGTCCGACAATGAGTATTTTTATGGTTCACCTCTGATAATTTGCTTTAAGTCTGTGTACCAGTCATATTTATACTCACATTCTTAAATTGTTTCTCAAGTTTAAGAATTGGTACCTTCATAAGTTGTCTATGTGGTTGCCTGCCCTTATCTTACAAATAGTTTGATAAAGCTTTCAACATGTAGGTATGTTCCTTGCTTGGTAATCAGAAGTTATAGAAGTGAAACCTAGATATTTGTCTGTGAAACATAACTTGATACAATGCAAGAGTAGACTTTATACTTTATATTTTATTTTAGTATTTGAAAACTTAGTATGTATATGCAATAAAATACTAGATCTAACTCCCTTTACTTCCCCCAGGATACCTATACACACATTAGTCTCCAAACTGCATGTCCATCTTTTTTATTTTTATTTTTTAAAACCCACTAAGTCCGTTTTGTGCTACCTCTTTGTGCATGGTGCCCACTGGAGCATGGGCAGTAGCAGTGGCCACTTCCTGGAAGAAGAACGTTGCTCCCTTGCCTAGTAGATCTCAACTGTATATTCACTTTTAAAAGTTAAGGCCAATGGGTATATAGTTAAAACAATTCCTACAGTCATTTGCCGTGGTTTATTGTTGCCGTAATTACTGCTTGACATACAGCAAATAGTACTTCTTTAACGTTTTGGGACCTAGTTTTCAAAATACTTCTTCTAGTATTGACTAGAACCAGTATTATTTAAAGCTGTAGTAATGGGTGGAAACATCACTAAATTGGGGAATAAGTTTGATTCATCTCCTAAATTGGCAGCTTGTTTACTGTGATATTGATTAGTGACTTGTTCAACCTTGATAACTTTGTTTCCTTATAAGTAAAATAGAGAAGTGACATGCTTGTCCAAGTTACTCATTATAGTCTAGAAATGGCATTGCATGTTTCGTAGAGTAGCAGCACTGCCACTCCTGGTTGTCTTGGACACCAGCCTCACTGGATACATAGTAGGTATAGCATGAATATTTAATGAGTTCTCATTTGACTGACTAGTCCCATTGCTAGACTTTGGTTTAGGGTTGGAAAATATTTGAAAAGCTTTGTAATGCACTACAAAACATGGCTTTAAGCAACTAGCAATAGGTTCATGTTACAGAATGCATATTCTGTCTTTGGAAAAAAGTATTAGTGACATTGTGTTTTGTAAAATATTTTTTAGGAGGAGCAAAACAGAGGCAAGCCCAATTGGGAGCATCTAAATGAAGATTTACATGTACTTATCACTGTGGAAGATGCTCAGAACAGAGCAGAGATCAAGCTGAAGAGAGCAGTTGAAGAAGTGAAGAAGTTACTGGTACCTGCAGTAAGTAATTTTCATCATTTGGATTCTTATTTGTTTATTTATTTTTATTTTTATTTTGGTTTTTCGAGACAGGGTTTCTCTGTGTAGTTTTGATGCCTGTCCTGGATATCGCTCTGTAGACCAGGCTGGCCTCGAACTCATGAAGATCTGCCTGGCTCTGCCTCTGGAGTGCAGGGATTAAAAGCGTGTGCCACCACCGCCCGGCTCTTTTTTTTAAAACATTGCCCTTTTCAGATTGATTTGAAATTGTTGGGTTAATAAAGAATGGGTTGTTATGTGTTTGTGATTTTATTTAACCACAAAATATAAAAACAATGGATGGCTCATGAAATATATAATGTAAAAGACAGGATTGCTCAAATTCGTAACCAGGAATCCCTGCTTATTTTTGTGAAGGAAGTGTTGTAGAGAAGCAAACCTAATTAAGCTACTTCTTAAAAGTCACAGACTTAAATTGCTCTGTTACAGAAGAAGAATTTAGACTTAGCAGTGTGTAGCTAGAGTTTTCCTGCCTGGCCCACAGTCAGGACAAATCTCTTATCACCTGCCAGTCCCACAGCCTCTCAGACCCGACCAAGTAAACACAGAGACTTATATTGGTTACAAACTGTATGGCCGTGGCAGGCTTCTTGCTAACTGTTCTCACAGCTTAAATTAATCCATTTCCATTAATCTATACCTTGCCACGTAGCTCGTGGCTTACCGGCATCTTCACATGCTGTTTCTCATCATGGCGGCTGGCAGTGTCTCTCTGACTCAGCCTTACACTTCCCAGCTTTATTTTCCTCATTGTCCCGCCTACACTTCCTGCCTAGCCAATGGCCAATCAGTGTTTTATTTATTGACCAATCAGCAACACATTTGCCATACAGAACATCCCACAGCAGCAGTCAGTAGGGTGCTAAAAGTATTTTGTTGGTTTGTTTGTTTTTCTTAAAAGATTGGGTAAGCTGAACTTGTTGGCACATGCTTATAGTCACAGCACTCAAAAGACGGGAACAGTCATATTTCTTGAGTTCCAGATGTACCTAGTTTACGTAGTGAGCTCCAGGACAGTCAAGGCTGTGTAAGAGACCCTGTTTTTTTTTTTTTTTTTTGCTTTTTTAAAAAAAAAACAAACTAAAACTAAAACCACACAAAGAAAAGTAAGTAATAGTAAGTTAGAGATCTGTGAACCTGTTACTGTAATGGGAAAGAAGACTTAGTGGGAACTCTGTTATTTGAATTGCCTATATGCTAGGTTCTCTTCCTGGCTCCTCTCCCCCCATTCCTCCACCCCCACCCCCAGTAGAAAAGTTAATGTTGCCTAGTAAAACTCGGTTAAAGCAGAGTTTTGCTGATTTCATAGCAGCATTCCAAATGTTTTTCACACTTTGCTAATCTAAGTTAACAAGTACATCTGGGAATCTTTAGAGAAGACATTAAGAATAAATCTGAGACTGGTGTCTCCTGAGAAATTGTCCAATTGTTTGTTCTTATGTCACCTCTTTTTATTCTTTTCCCATCTTCTTCCTCAGCTCCTCTTCACTTTTTTATATTGCTACACACTGTTTCTTTTAGATAGGAAATGAGAAGAAAATGATATGAAGTGGTTCTCTCCCACCACTGTAGAACCTGGGGATCAAATTCAAGTAAGGCACATGGGCCATCAAACAATTGTACAAATGATCTCCTCTCTCCTCCTCCTCCTCCTCCTCCTCCTCCTCCTCCTCCTCCTCCTCCTCCTCACCACCACCACCACCACCACCACCACCACCACCACCACCACCACCACCACCACCACCACCACCACCACCACCACCGTGTTTTTCTTTGTAACAGCCCTGACTGTCTTGGAACTTGATTTGTAGAACAGGCTGGTCCTTGGATTTACAGAGCTTAATTTATTAAGCGCTCTCTCTCATAATTAATAACATGAAAATATTCAATTGGCTGCTCTTAGAGAAGCTATGAAAATTGATAATGTGTTGCTAATGGAGCCATTTTGTTGCTTACATAAATGAGTTTGGGATCTGTTTTTTATATCCCAGTAATTTGTTCTTCTGTGTCCTGACAGTACACTTTTAATTCCTTGCAAGGAAAGAATTTCGTATGAATTGTGTTGATAGATATATAAGGAACATGGACAGGCAGATTGTTTATAAATGCAAGTCTTTGCACACTATTAAATCATTTTCTTCTTTTCCTTAGTAATTGTGTGGTTTTGAAAAGCAGTGAAGGGGACTTTTTGAATATTCTGTTACTAGTTTCATAAACAGAAAAATATTGGAATGCTATGTATCCAACAATGCAGAGTTGTCATTACCCTGAGCACATGTTTACTAAGGTAGCAAAAAGAAAATTGTTTAATAGTTTACACTCCTATTTACACATTAGATTTTTCTAGCCATTCTTTCTGTAATTTACTTTTATTCTAAAAGATACTATCTTGAAAAAGAGCATTGGTTTAGAAGCTTATTAATGAGTTTGAGAAAATGTTGGCCTCTCTGTTTCTTTACTTTAGGGTAACAACAGTAACAAAACACTAATGGTAAGACCTTGGAGCACCAGCTCTATCATTTGTGGAATTAATTGTCCTTGGTGCTGGTGCACTCCTTTAATCCCAAGGGAGGCAGAGGCATGCCTCTGCGTTTGAGACCACCCTGGTCTACAAAGTGAGTTCCAGGACAGCCACAGCTGTTACACAGAGAAACCCTGAAAAACCAAAAGAAAATAAATCATTGATACAATTGTTTGTTGCTCAGTGAGCCTTACTTGAGTTTGCTCCCAGGTTCTCCAGTGGTAGGAGAGAACCAGGTTCTGAACATTGTCCTCTGACTTTCTCTTGAAAGCTGTGGCATGATGTGCATGCCTACACTCTCTCATTCCCCACACAAAGAATTAATTAGTTAATAAAAATGATTTGTGTCTAGAATATGAAAAGGTGGTAGCAAATAAATGAATGAAACTTTTAAGAAAGTGCATATTACGTATGTATTTTATGAGAAAATAACCAGTTTTGGTAGCTCTCTCTTTTAATAAAGGCTTTTTGGATTATAGCTGTTACTAATAAATAGGAAACTGATTTTAAATTGTACTACCTGGTATTACACTAAAGAAATGAAACTTTAGAATTACAAACTATAGGATAAAACACATTTTTTTTTTTTGAGCTGAGGATCGAACCCAGGGCCTTGTGCTTGCTAGGCAAGTGCTCTACCACTGAGCGAAATCCCCATGGATTAATTTAATACTGCATAATAATTTCATTTTCTGGTATATTTCTACTTATGTCTTTAATTCAATGTAGACATTACATTAAATAATTTATTTTAATTAAATTGAAATTTTAATGTATATTTTTGATGCCTGTACCAAGATAATAAGACTTTAAAGAAAACAGATTAACTATTTGAAATTTTCTCCATAATTTGGCCAGTTCTGTGATACTTGTGTAAGCTTAGCCAAGAGGAAAATAGTCTTTTATACAAAGCAATAGTTACACTAGCATGAAATAAAATGAACTATCCATTTGTAGTTTTGGAAAAAGTCATCACACACGCACGAAAAGATGAAGGTATAATGTTGGATTGCTATGTCATGAAGCACCTCATGCATTTTGCTGAATTTCATCTACTTGGAGTGTCTGTCATGCAACTGAGAATTGCACATTATAGGTCCTTTCTTTATACTGACTCTGGGTGTCTCTTACATGGAGGTGCCTAGTCATTGTAGTCATCTGTCTTTCAAATCAGATGCTTTTCATGTTCTGGAAGGGAGGAGATAGTGAAAAAAAGAAAGGAAAGGCAGTGGTGGCGCACGCCTTTAATACCAGCACTCAGGAGACAGAGGTGGGCGGATCTCTGTGAGTTCAAGGCCAGCCTGGTCTACAGAGCGAGTTCCAGGACAGGCACCAAAACTACACAGAGAAACCCTGTCTCGAAAAAAGAAAAAAAGGGGGGGGGGGGGGCTTGTTCTTGGTACCCACTAGCCATTCTTTGGCTTTTTGGAGACAGAGTCTCCTGTAGTTCAGGTTATCCTTATCCACTTACCTCCACCTCCCAGCTGCTAAGATTACATATGCCAGTATGCCCTTCTCATTTCTTTGATTTTCCATTAACTGTTGCTTGTTGAGAAATATTATCTAGCAATTGGTAATAATTTATTCTTCCTCCTACCAGTTAGCAGATAGGAAAGTTTTGCATTATAAGGCCTGAATTCCTATAGTTTATCTTCTGATCTATTGACTACTATTTCTGCTTGGGGAAAAAAAAATCACCTAACAATTGCATTTGTTCTTGTTATTGATGAATAATAATCACACATATTTGTGATATAAAGGTGATATAAACACTTGTAACTTCAATTTTTTTAAGACTTCTTTTGTGTTGAAAATAGATTTGCGTACAATATATTCTGGTGTAGTTTCCCCTCCATTAACTCCTTCCAGATCCTCCCCACTTCCCCACTCACCTAAATCCATACCTTTCTTTCTCTTAGTAGAAAACAAACAGGCATCTTTTAAAAATGAGGTAAAAACAAACGAGTTGGATGAATTAAACAGAAAAAAAAAGAGCCAGTGAAAAAGCGTAAGAAACATGCGCAGGCACAAAGACACATACATTTACACAAATAGAAATCCCATAAAAACACAAAATCAGAAATCATAATATACAAACAAAAGATCTATAAAGTAAAAAAAAAAAAAAAAAAAAAAAAAACCCAGACAAATCATTATGAGAAAAAGGGGTGGGAGACACTCCAAAAATTCATTAGGTTCATTTTGTGTTTCCCATCTGCTGCTGGGCATGCAGTCTTCCTGTAAGTGTGGATTTTGTATACCTGGTGAGACTGCATTGGAGAGTTTTTCCTTTACAACTGGTTAATTCCAAGTGGTCAGTTGGAGATAGCTTCTGAGTTGGGGATGGGGGTTTGTGCCTACTTCTCTCAGCACTGGCTTAGACCTGTGCAGGCCCTCCCTGTGCATGCATCTCTGACTTCATATGTATCAGTCCTGTTTT